AGGCCCGCTCAGGCCCGCTCAGGCCTGCTCAGGATGCTGAGCGCTGGCAACTGGGCGTCTTCTTGCTACCTCATCCTCTGTCTTCCTTTTCTTTCCTCTTCTTTTTCTCTCTTTCTTTCTTTCTTCTCTTTCGAGAGAGAGAGACTGGTCCTGTTGGCAGGGCCTTGTCACGCCCTGGCTCCCCGTCCGGGCCTGCGCCTCCCCGTGGCTGTCATTCTGCAGTGGCACTTCCTCATGTGTGCCACCACGGCTGGGCCATCCGCCCCTCGACCCTCCTTCCTCACTGGTGGCTCCATTTTCAGTCAGCCCTTCCCTCATGGTGGCAAATGGCGACCACAACACCTAGCACGACATCCTTCCCTCTCGGCAGCCCCGGCGGTAAAGAAAATCCCAGCAGTGCATTCGGTTGAGCGGCTTGGGTCACCGGCTTAGCCTTACACCGACCGTGGCCAGGGCCTGGAAGTCTACTGGCGTGGCCAAGCCCAGGCCACACACCCAAGGGCGGGACTAGCTCTGACTGTCCCCAGCACGAGGGGCGCTCAGAGCCCGACGGCAAGGGCAGTGTGTCGCCGTGGGCAAGGCGTGGCACTCTGCCTGCAGCACGTGCCCAGACACACTGGCCACCACCATCACCACCGCCATCTTGCCACAGTGGGGTCGGGCCCTTGCCCCGGGCTGGGACGGGGGTCCTTCCTGACCGCTCGGCCCCTCTGTTTCTCCCAGGTGGTCCTGCCGACCTACGAGGAGGCCCTGTCTCTGCCGTGCAAGGCTCCCGAGGCGGGACCTGCACCACCCCCGTACTCAGAAGTGTGAGCCCCCAGCCCCAGCCTGGCTCTGGGAGGGGCGGAGCTGCCTCGGAACCGCTTCTCTGCTTTGGTGGCCCCTGCTGCCCGGGCGGGCCCGCTGACTCGGGGTGACCTGCTGTGCCCCTTGCCAGCCCGCCCCTCGCCCGGCCCCTGAGATGCTCACAGTGGTGTCAGCCCCGCGGCCGAGCGCCGCCCCAGGCCCTCGGAAGGTCAGGCCCACAGCACCCCGCCTATCGCACCGCTGCAGCGCCGCACAGAGACGGGTTCTAGGTTTGGCAGGCGTGGTTCCGGTCAGCCGGGTCGGTTCCGCCACGCAGCGCGTGCCCTAACGCACTCGTCCAGCCAGCAAAACTCTGCTGAGAGCGGCCTGCTCTTCTGGTCTGTGAGAAACTGATTCACACAGTGGTTCAGCCTAGCGATCCTGCCGGTAAACACATACCCACACACACACACACACACGTACGTGAGGGCAGGTGCGTGTATGTCCACATGGTGTGCAAGAAGTCAGCCATCCGTAGAATAATGAATACATTAGAAATCAAATTCAATAGGGACCAACAGGTGGCGTGGTGGTTAGGGCGCTGGACTCCCACATGGCCAACTGCGGTTTGAGTCCCAGACCTGGTGGCTTGCTTTCTCACTTCCCCTCTCTCACTCTGTCCTTCTCTGGTCAAGTTAAAATAAATAAATAAATAAAGTTAAATAGAATAATTCTTTTTAAAAAAGAAAAAAGTTTTAAAAAAAAGAAATAAAATTCAATAACCAAAAATCAAGTTGGTTTTGAATTATTTGGTTTGGACTGACCCATGGTGGTCGGCCTGCTGGCCAACATAGACCCTCCAGGTGGCTGGATTATTGTCCAGTCAGACAAAATGCAGTGTCAGCCTGTCCTTCCACAGGGCGGCCGTCTTGACCCTACGCACATGCAGCTGCTCTGCTGAGGCTCCACCGCGATCGAGCGCAGACCTGGGTGGCCGCCCTGGCTGATGTGACCCCGTAGCCGTGGATTCTGTGACAGGGTCATCAGCGGTTGGTGCTGTCAGTCCGCCCCAGGGGTCTGCCCGAGGACTGTTGGTTGTTGGGGAGTCAGTTCCCCAAGCTGTGGTCAAGCCAGACCCAGCCCTGTCACAGGCTGTGTGGCAAGGACAGGGGTTTGTTCGGGACAAACCAGCAGACCCTTGTGGGCACAGACCCTCGTGGGCACAGTTCCTCGTGGGCACAGACCCCCTCACGGGCACAGACCCTCATGGGCACAGACTCCTCGTGGGCACAGCTCCTCATGGGCACAGACCCTTCGAGGGCACAGACTCTCGTGGGCACAGCTCCTCGTGGGCACAGACCCTTCGAGGGCACAGACTCTCGTGGGCACAGCCCTTGCCACTGGGCCTTGGTGGGGGCAGCAGGGAAGGTTTTGGACCCAGCGCTCTCTACTGCCTTCTTGCTCGGAGCCGAGGTTCCTGCGGGAGTGGGCCTGGAGGTGAGGCCTCGGGTCATGGTGCCCGTGCACCGCCCCGTGGGATCGCTCATGTGGGGGGAGACATGGCAGTAAAGCCGACACGAGGCTCCCCCTGTCCTGAGATACAGAGCAGGAGGCCGCCCATTTCCTCCCCTCACCCCAACGTGTACATGCACACACACACATACACACGCACACATACACACACACGCACACACGCACACGCACATGTACACGTGCGCACCATGTGTTCAGTGCACCTGCTGCCAAGCCCAGCTGTGTCACCCAGCGTCGTTTCAGACCCTTACGCAGAGACGCTGCGTAAACCCGTGACGTCTCCGATCAGGTGTCACCTTCGCTGGCCTGGAGGGCGCCAGCAGGGCCGGGTCTCTGACTCTGACTCGATGGGTGGACTTGCCTCTAGTTAAGCCAGTGCGAGAGGGCGCAAGTCCATACGCAATGACAGCACCTGTGGCTGAGCCCTTGCGGAAAGTCCGAAGGTCGTCAGACCTGACCTGAGTCAGAGAAGTCTTCCTGGAGGAGGTGCCCCGGTTCAAGCCTGAAGAACTAGTAGGTGGCAGGGAGCTAAGTGGGAAGGAGAGTGGGGCAAAAAGAGGGGTGTGCAGGGGCCCCGCGGTGGGGGTGCTGGGAGAACAGCTCAGGTGGCTGTGGGGCAGGGGCTGGCAGGTCTAGGGCGGCATCGGGCATACGACAGTGCTCATGGTTGAAGTTATCGGGCTACTCCAGCCCAGAGGGCATTACGGGAGATGGCCGCAGGTAGCGGGGACCTCGGTGAACCGAGCTCATCACCACTGCTAGGCACACAATTGTTGCCATATTTCTTGGCTAAAGCAGAAGTCACATAAAGGAAACTGCTGGAATTGTTGGCTTCAGGCATGGCTGGATCCAGGACTTGAGCTCTTCAGTTGTCTCTTTCTCTCTCTTCATCTCTTGCCTGTTCCTCCTGGGGTCATGGAGCTGCTGAGGGCCCTCCTGAGAGTGCAGCCGGCAGGGGCCCAGGGCAGTCTGGGTTGGGATCTGTCCCAGCACCGAAGGAGAAACAGCGGAGCCTTGGATACTGCACCAGTGAGCGTGAACTCACCCGGGACTGGGACCGGGCCGGGAAGGGTCTCGGGCAGGAAGTACCAGGTCGGGCTTGGGTTTCCGGAAGCAGGAGGCAAGTGCCGAAACTGCAGAGAGGCTGGCTGGGCGTGCTTGGCCTCGCCTGCGGCTTTCCTGGCACACAGCTCTTCACCTGCTCTTCACCAGGCCCCACGCAGTGGAGACAGGTGGGAGTCAGCCTCCTCGTCACGTCCGAGGGAGCCGAGGCCCAGAAATGTCACATGACTGTCCACGGGCCACGCAGCGGTCAGGGATTAGTACAAAGGCCTTCCTCTTCTCCAGGCGGAGGCTGCCGAGAGAGAGAGGGCTGGGCCCCAGTCTGGCCGTGGCTTCTCGTGTCACGCCACGTGACGAGGGGCTCCAGGACCCCTCCAGTGTGGGTGGAGTGAGGTGCTGAGAGGGGCTGGCCTTGTTCTCGGCCTCGCAGCCTGAGCGAGGCCCACCTTGGCTGTGTCCCTGGCAGAGGAGACCTGGGGCTCGCCGAGGTGACTCGGCTGTCCCTCCCCCGTCCCCGCTCCCCAGCCCGGGCCTGCAGCCAAGGACCAGCTAAGATGTGTGTGGGATTGTGCCCTGTGGCCGCCAGCTGGAGGGGCCAGCCCCGGGACAGGAAATAGCTGGCTCGGGGGAGCGCGTGTGGCCGGCCAGGCCAGCCGCCATCGCCCGGCACCCTCGCCGAGGCCCATCAATGGGCGTTTGAGCCTCACACAGGGTCCTTTGACAGCCTGGGCGGTTCGGGCCCACTGAGAGGGCCTGTCTGAGGGAGGCGGGAGAGGAGGCGGCCCGGAAATAGGACTGGTCGCGAGGCCGGGCAGGTGACTCAGGCCAGGGCCGCTGGGGGCTGTGCCGGCAGCAGGGACGGGCCCTGTCATTAGGTGACTCCTTCCTTCATGTCATCTCCATGGACCCCCGTGGATGCCTGCGGTCCGAGAGGGAAGGCGTTGCTCGGAGTCACGCGTGGCCAATCAGAGCCTGAGTTTGTCCCTCTGGTGCTTCCTGACCCACCTCCCCCTTTTCCCGGGACCCTGCGCTTCCCAAGGCCCTCGTTAGCTCCATCCCGGGGTGTGCTTTCTGGGGCGGGGGCTGGCTCACGGCAGCCTCAGGGGCATCTGGAAGCTGTTAGGAGGCACAGGTCACTGGAATGGGCTCTCCGCAGTTGCGTCTCGGACCAGAGGGGCCTCGGAGGCTGCTGTCCCCTGTAGCAGGTGCAGCCTCCTCCCTGGGCTCCGCCCCGCTGAGGCCTGCCCCGTGCACGTCCCCTCTGTCCGGGAGAGGGGAGCAGGCAGCAGTGCCCCCGCCCGCTGAGCCGGGGCTTTAGGAAAATGGGTTCTTGCTCTCTGCTGTCAACTCCTGGCTCCATGGCTCTCCCTGTGCCCGTGGTGGTCTCTCGATGCGAGTGTGGCCAACTGTTGCCTGACACACCCCTCCGTGGGACCCCTGCCTCCCCTCCTCTCCGGGTTCACGGGTTTAGTACGAGGTGTGGATTTTGGCCTCTGACGGGCTGCTCATTTGTCTGTCCCTGTGTTTTTCCAGAATGTTCCTAGAGGGTATGAATGGGGCATGCTGGGAACACAGAGGCGCTGAGCTCCCCGTCCTCACCTCGGGGATGGTGGGGGACAGGAGCAGCAGCACGGCCTAATCAGTGCTGAGAGGGGCCAGGGTACTGCCGCCTCCAGGCTGGGCCAGGTTCCTGGCCCAGGTTCCTGGAGGAGGTGATTCCTGAACTATGTTCACTAGCCAGGTGACAAGGAGGGGAGAGACTTCAGGTGGGACATCCCCTAGAGAGGACTGTGGCCTGAGAGAGCCTGAGGGGGACGGGAAGGGGCAGCGGCAGTTCAGAGAGGCAGTCTGTGCCAGTCACGGCCTGCACTCTGACCTCAGCTCCCCCGCTGTGAACGGGTTAACCACCTTGTGTCCCAGGACAGTCGAGGGCCGATGGTCAACCACGGGAAACGCATCGAAGGGGCCGTGTTCGGTCAGGAGAAACAGAAACCCTGGGCTCGGTGGCATGGGCAGTGGGGGGCAGCTCACAGACCACCAGAACCTGGGCTGCAGCCAGCGGTCGGCATTGCTGTGCCGCTGAGGAAACCAGTGCTGTGGCCGGTGACGGCGCAGCTGCTGGACTTACATACGCCGACCGCAGTTCGAGTCCTGGGCCTGGTGGCTTGAAAGTCACACGGTGCATGTGTGCGCATGCCCGAGATCTCGGGAGGAATGAGAAGAACTGTGCTGGGGCCATCACTTCGGGGATGATTCCCACCTTCCCACCTTCCCTCTCACTGTCTCTCGCTCTGGTGAGTGCATGTGCCCTAAAGACAAAAACCTCTAAAAAAAAAAAAGAAAGAACGAAAGAAAGAAAGAAAGAGAGTTAGTGCTGATGTTGTTCAAGTTCTTTTTCATCTTTCCCTCATGCTCACAAGGCGGCTGCTGCTACTCCTGCAGCACATCCGTCTTCAATGCAGACCTCCCAGAAATAGCTTCCTCACCCCTCATTGGCTGGGATTGGTCACATGATGCCTGGGGAGCAGGAGCTGCAGGGCTTGCACAGAGAAGCGGGAGTGGGGGTCTGGGCTGGCGCTGGGCTCAGAGGGCGTTTGGGAAGGCGGCACCCACTCTGGGCCGAGGGCAGGGGCGAGGGCAGAAGAGAGAGTGCGCCCAGTCCTGGGCCAAGCTTGTCCCCTTGTGCTGTGTGGGCGCACTGGGGGGTAGAGCCTACAGTCGTCTCTGTGCAGGAGGGTGGGATGTCGTCTGGGGACCTGTGGGGCGGGTGTCAACCGTTCCCCAGGTTCACAGGTCGGCCTCCCTGGACGTCCCCCCAGACGAAAGTGCACCTCCTTGTCCTGGCTGGGCTCTGGCTTCCAGGGCCTGAGACAGAGGGGTGCACGTGAGGTGTGACTGGCGTGTGGCACTCAGACCACAGAGCCGAGGTCTGGACAGGGTCCCGGACAGGGTGAGCAACCAGCCACGCGGCACCTGCCTGGGCCGGCAGTGAGGAGGCCCACTTCGCGGGGTCTCAGGGTGGCCTCTGGGGAGGCAGTTGTGTCCCTCGGGCACCCTGGCCATGCCTCCAGTCCCACTAAAGTGGCTCTGAGTG